CTAACCTCCCAAAATGCAACATCTCAGAGAAATATCCAGCAATGAGTTATTGAGTCAACACGCACACTAAATGTGCTGAATCTTAGGATGGTGTACCGGTAATTATGAATTTAAAAGAAAATTTGATCTTCTTTGTATGCTCTTTCCATGTGGAGCAAGTTGCTGCAAAGTTAAAGATTCACTCAGTGAATTACTGGCTGTGCATATTGACTTAGTTTATACTCTTTCACGCACTGGTAGCATGAGTAAATAAAACCATGTTGACATGCACCATCCTATTCCCAAAGGGCTGTTTAATGATTGCTGAAGGAATCTTCCTGCATACAAGACTTAATAATTAATCTGCTCATTTTTATTTTATTATTTTTTGCTGGTTCTGACTCTAACATCCACATAAAGAAGAGTTGCTTTCTTTTTAAAATTATTTTTATTACTTCAAAATCCTGTTATACTCATATGCTGCTTAATGTACAAACAACAGAGAGATAAAGGAGGGTGTGAAGGGGTTAAAGTAATTTTATTAAAAGTAAAAAAATGTATTTCTAGTATAACAGACTTTCCCATTGCCACACCCAACCTGCTAGTTCTGAACAGCACAGTCTAGTTTTTTGCTGGAGTACACCATCTAGTGATAAATAAATGTATCACCATAAGCTAAATTTTCAATTTAGTTCACAAGGTATCCAAGTTTCGACATAGTGTAGATGATAAAAAGCTGGAACAGCAGTTTGTCCTCTTTTTGCTACAGTTATTATTATTCTAAACAGTTTCATGGAACTAAGAGGACATTACCGGTACTACCGGTAGGTATATCACCACAGTGCTTTTAAGTTAAAATATTCTGCTAGAAAAATTTACTAAAACGATGCAAGAATGTAAGAAATTCCAAGAATCAAATTTGATAATTTGATTGAACCTGAATACATGATCTTTAGATTCTAGAGAAGGTTTGGTGAATTTGCTTATTTTAATTAGTAACAGAAAAACAGATCAAAAATTGTGTTGCAGTTCCACAGCCTTAACATTTTGAGAGTTGTTTGGAAGGCTACATGTTTAATGTTCATTTCTCTTTACCTGTTTGAAATATTGTCAAATTATCACCATAAATATCAATGCAATTCAGTTTATTTATATAGCGCCAATTCACAACACATGTCATCTCAAGGCACTTTAGGATTCATCAGATCATACAGTCAAACTGATTCAAAATTTTCTAAAGAAAACCCTTGCATTGACTTATTTACACGAAGGCAATCCCTCACACTAAGCATGCTTGTAGCAAAAATGGAGAGAAAAAACTCCCTTTTAACAGAAAGAAACCTCCAGCAGAACCAGGCTCAGTGTGAGTGGCCATCTGCCGATGCCGACTGTAGTTCAAGGAGACAGAAGCAGACATACAGAAAGAAGCAGAGATATAAAAGCCAACTGTAAACCAGCTCCACTGGCGGCCCTGTCCAGGAAACACACAGCCAGGCAGACAAGCTCTGAGCCAGCTCCCATGGCAGAGGACGAAAAGAGCACATACAGTCACATTCAGAGAAACAGGAATACACTTAAAAACAGGCCGGTCTCGAACATCTATAAACAAAGGTGTTGATGGCAGCAGCACAGCTGATATTTCTCTCCAGGATGGTGTCACAGCCAAACAGGAACAGACTAGATGAAGCTACTGTGAGAAAAAGCAGAGAGCATATCGCTAGAGATTGAACTAACAAATTCTGCAGAGTGGGAGAATAGAGAATGAAAGAATGAAACAGAATGAAACTGCATGAAAAAGGTGTCCCTATGTCTTCCAGCAGTCTAAGCCTATAGTAGGATAACTAAAGAGATAGCTCAGGATAACTATAATCTTTATCAAAAAGGAAAGTTTTAAGCCTACCCTTAAAAGTAGACAACAACTGATAGTTGGTTCCACAGGAGAGGAGCCTGATAACCAAAAGATCAAATATGATCTGTCTTTTTAATTTTGATTAGAACTCTGGCTGCAGCATTTTGGATCAGTTGAAGGCTAAAGAGTATATCAGTATACTGTAGTGGGATTATATGTAATAGATGCAGTGCAACCAATTTCCAGT